AGTTTGTTTGGCAGTTTGTTTGGCAGTTTGTTTGGCAGTTTGTTTGGCAGTTTGTTTGGCAGTTTGTTTGGCAGTTTGTTTGGCAGTTTGTTTGGCAGTTTGTTTGGCAGTTTGTTTGGCAGTTTGTTTAGCAGTTTGTTTGGCAGTTTGTTTGTTTGTTAATAATTATACGTGTCACTTGTAAACCTGCTTTCCATCTTATGAATTATAAAAAACGCAAAATAATAAATGATTTTTAAATGATTATAAATGATTATAAATAATTACAAAGATTTAAAGTTAAAATCAAAGTAACTTAAACATACAAATAAAAATTCAGCAAGGGGAAAAACGAATTCTGGGAAAATCCAGGAGAGTAAGACGTACCGAGAAATTGAGCGGAGTTCCGCAGCATCCGCCTTGGGTGTTTATCTCCACCTTCTCAACACCCTCAGCATCCGAGATGGCAAAGCTGGTGGAGCAGGACCATCTGAAATTATCAGGTCATCAGATGAGTGGCAGGTGATGACTCTAATCATAATAGGATGAAGAATTTATGAGACGCTGATAATGTGTCTAGCCGTATTGCGTAGACGGATGTATGTTCCACTGGTAGTGTATCTAACTGTAATGGGTGGAGGGGTGTATGTTCCACTGGTAGTGTATCTAACTGTAATGGGTGGAGGGGTGTATGTTCCACTGGTAGTGTATCTAACTGTAATGGGTGGAGGGGGTGTATGTTCCACTGGTAGTGTATCTAACCGTAATGGGTGAAGGGGTGTATGTTCCACTGGTAGTGTATCTAACTGTAATGGGTGGAGGGGGCGTATGTTCCACTGGTAGTGTATCTAACCGTAATGGGTGAAGGGATGTATGTTCCACTGGTAGTGTATCTAACTGTAATGGGTGGAGGGGGTGTATGTTCCACTGGTAGTGTATCTAACTGTAATGGGTGGAGGGGGCGTATGTTCCACTGGTAGTGTATCTAACTGTAATGGGTGGAGGGATGTATGTTCCACTGGTAGTGTATCTAACTGTAATGGGTGGAGGGGTGTATGTTCCACTGGTAGTGTATCTAACTGTAATGGGTGGAGGGGGCGTATGTTCCACTGATAGTGTATCTAACCGTAATCGGTGGAGGGGTGTATGTTCCACTGGTAGTGTATCTAACCGTAATGGCTGGAGGGGTGTATGTTCCACTGGTAGTGTATCTAACTGTAATGGGTGGAGGGGGCGTATGTTCCACTGGTAGTGTATCTAACCGTAATCGGTGGAGGGGTGTATGTTCCACTGGTAGTGTATCTAACTGTAATGGCTGGAGGGGGCGTATGTTCCACTGGTAGTGTATCTAACTGTAATGGGTGGAGGGGTGTATGTTCCACTGGTAGTGTATCTAACCGTAATCGGTGGAGGGGCGTATGTTCCACTGGTAGTGTATCTAACCGTAATGGGTGGAGGGATATATGCGCCTCTCTCCCTTCTCTCCCCCCACCCCCTTTCTCAAAGCTTCGTTACGAACGATGACTTACTTTTGCGTAACAGAGCCCAGGTGTGTGCCGCCAGCGGAGACGTCGACCGTGGCGGCACAGCTTGAAAAACACGAGCAGCAAGCAGCGACAAAAGAGTAGGAGCACTGCTGACTGCTCCTGGAGATGGTCATCAACTCCTGGAAAGATCAGAACGTGGGATGGTACGGTTAGTCCAGTGATGATAAAAGTACATTGACACGTGAACAGAGGAACCATTCTTCCATTGTGTTTACAGTATTTACATAGCCAATGGCGTGGTCAGAGAAGGAGAAACGTAGCAATGTATTTTACTATATATTTTATATTTATATGTTTACATGGGATAGATGTTGATCCATGTAAATAATATGATTGCTAGACACTACTAATCTTGTTTCGGTATTACCCTGTTAACATTGCATTTAAAGATCAACAATTTTATGACGATTTGACTAGAAATATCAGTCTCTACCCCCACCTTTCTTCCCTCCATTCTCCTAAAACAACTCATTTAACATACGTTTCTTACATAAGTTTCCTTTAGGTATCAAAATCCCACTCGAAGAACACTAGGAATTGGAAGAAAAAAAACACTTTTCAGCCAACAGGCAGTCGCTGGACATTTAGTTAGATCTAATAGTCGAGCACATGAGATTGTTCTGAGACAATTTTTATCGTCTCCCATTCCGATGGGAAGAGTATTGTCTCTCAGGAGCTGCTAGGAGGTTAGTTTGAAGGAGAGGCGGCACTGGGGTTGGTGTCGCTCGAGAAAGCCCGGACTGTTCCAAACGGTAGAGCGAAAATAGTTCTTTACAAGTTTCAGTCTTGAAAAGCCCCTGTCACACGAAGCCAGAAACAAACAGATCATGAGACAAACTTGTAGGCTTGATGAGATAGTCATCTCCATGACAAGCACTTGTAGGCTTGATGAGATAGTCATATCCATGACAAGCACTTGTAGGCTTGATGAGATAGTCATATCCATGACAAGCATCTCCTTTAACATGATTTGTCGTTGCACCCTGCTCTTGTATTTTAACGTGGATATGTTATGAAACCGACCCGAGCATTTGTTGTCACCCTCCTGCGATGCGTGTCACCCGGTGGGGCCCGCACCCCCGCACCCCACCATAGTAACGCCACTGTTAAGAAGCGTGTTCTATTTTTTCAAGCTTCTATAGATCTTGTTCTCAAATTTCTCTTGATATATTAAAGAAAGCAATGTATCTCAACTATCCTCGGGGTTATAACTTTAATTTTTAAAACAATAACTCATTTTGCGACCAGGACGTTGGCTTCCCCCACCCTGACATAAAATGTAACCACAACACGTGACTTAGAGTGAGAACCACTGCGCTGTGTTAAAGATTGCTCAAAGATAGGTGGAATCTTACCGTTCCTTGAGAATCCTTAACTCGAACATTGAAGGATCTGTAGACTGGGGCTAGACCTGGCCGGCCCATCACTGAGTTGTACGGAGAATTAGACTTATCTGAAATATCAGGAAAATATAATCAACGCCATGTTGACTTGTTGTGGTGCCTAAGAAAGTGAAAATAAAATAAAAATAAATATGACAGAGAACTCGAAATATAGGACGTGCTCTGGGCGGAATCCCCTACCCCACACACCCCCCCAAAAAAACCGCATACTTTTCCCATGTATTCAGTCGAAGAAGTTAAGCTCTACATAGGCCACTGAGGGAAGTCCAATAAATAATTTTTAAAGTAGAACCCAGTTAAGGACCCCCCCCCCCCCGTTACCACCCATGGGCGCCCGCAGGTAGTGGCAAGGTGGGGCACTTGTCCCCCCCCCCCTGGATTGATTGGATAAAAATTTTTTTGAAAAAAATAGACAATAAATGTATTAAAATAAAGAGAAAGTAACTAAGCTGATGTCCTGTCCGTTCGTTCACCATACAAATACGCTACAGTAAATTAAAACTATATTGAAACATTACTAAAATTTTTTTGCCCCCCCCCCTAGAAAGTTTTCTGCGGGCGCCCATGTTACCACCCAAGACCAACAAACAAACAAAATTCTCCCGTAAACTCATAAAACCCCCTTTTTATTATTGAGAAAGACAAAATTTTCCCTGAATTTAAAAAAAAAATATAAACAAAAATACGTGAATAACTGGGCCTGTTAAATAACTTAAAATGTGTGTCTAAATGTCTTTCAACCCACCTTCCTCGGCCACATAGAGCTGCTCTCCCTGTTCGCTGATCACTCGGTATTTGTTGAAGTTTCCCAGCATGCTCATGACTGAATGAAGAAGGAAGGCGAGCAAGAAATTATGAAGTATATCAAACGATATGATTTTAAAAAAAAAAATCTACCTTAGTAGTGGTTCTCAGTTTACAGCAGGCGTCTTTTAATCATCAGATGATACGTTTCAAAAAGAGGGGTAATGGAGACTAATGAATATTGAACAAACATTTTGAATAAATCGGCAATGAATCCATATATAATAGTATCATTCGCGTTTTAGCAAGATCCCATACCCTGAATAATTAGTATATTATGTCATTTAAAATCGTTTTTTGACCCCGCATGACAATTGGTGTATTGTTAAACATACGCACTTAAAATATATTTTTTTCATGTTAATTTCGCAACAGAAATTCGGTCTCCTTGTTACAAAGACGTATTTCGAAATTAGGGCGTACCAGCACCGATATCACGATAAGGGGGAAACATAAGAGAACTAAGTACACAACTTAGCTACCAAATTATGTTGAGGCTGTAAACTATTTCCACGTTCGACGTAAGTTCATGTAAACACTTTGTGATGACGTAGTTGGAATTGTATAACATACGTTTTTCATATTTCTTTCTTTATATTCATTTTAAGCATTAGAAAAAATTTAGTTACGCCTTTCCACATTTAATGAGTTGTTTGGAAATTTTGGTATCTTTGAAAGATTATGGGCCGATGGCTTAGCAGAGCGATTATTGGAAGCCCGGGGGGGGGGGGGGGGGGGAAAAATTTTTTTTCCCCCCCCCCCCCCCAACCCCCCCCCCCCTTTCCCAGCCCCTGAAGTTGGCCGAAAGTGCCGCCACTCCATATTAAGTGCCACTCGGGACGGACACCCCCCCCCACCCACCACTACGCCCTGTTAAGGGCCCATAAAATGTACATATATTTAGACCCCATAGCTCCGCGTGTCAATTTAAGTAACTGCTTTAGATAGTGACAGGGACCCTAACTATCGGGTCACAGTGTCAGTGGGAACATTTGAGGACCGAATGCCCCAAGCGTGACGTTGGGAGATGCCAGAGTGACAGAATGTGTCTTATGTGACAGACACGTTCCTCGGCACAGCCCCACAGACGGAGTCCGTTATCAAGGTTTCCAGGTTGTTGCCGGCACCGTAAAGAGTAATTAAGCTCTATCCCCCCCCCACCCAAGTATGGATTAGTTATTAGTATAACAGTAGAGCGTTGATTATCCGAACCCATTGGGACCAAGGTTATTTCGGATACCACATTATACACGGATAACCAAACCGTTCCAACGGAAAGTTTTCGTTAAATAAGTGAACACATATAATATTATTACCTCATACAGGTATGGTGCTTTATGGTACATTTTATTATGTACACTATGGTGCTTTATAGTACAGAGTATTATGTACAAAAAGCATCAACGGTTTAAAGGAGCTTTCTTTCATCAAATAAGTCGTTTTTCTAAAAATAGATGACTGTCGCTTAGAATAAAATCCTTTGGCAATTTGTCATTGCAGGCGTGTACTCTGCGATGAATATTTATTAACAAATTAACAGATCACACTATCCCAATCTGGTCAATGCTTTAAAGTTACTATATAGACCAGTGGTCAGCAAACTCGTTAGTCAAAAGAGCCAAAAATCAACAGCAGGACGATTTTTAAAAAAATTTGAGAGCCAAATTTCTTTTCAAGAACCTGTCAAGAACCATGTTTTTCGGAGTCAGACCAGATTTGTGGCAGGCTGCCCGAGCCGCACTCAGGTGGCTAAAGAGCCGCATGCGGCTCGCGAGCCGCGATTTGCCGACCACTGATCTAGACTGAGCCGGTTCTTCTAGGCGGGCCGTGGATGTTTTTCAGTGTATGTTCTTTATCTGTCCATGCAATTCAAATTTTAACACGGCAGGCGCCGTTCGGAGAACCGAAGTTTCGGATAATCGCAGTTCGAATTATCGACGATCTAACCAAGTAACATTTCTCACCGTTCATATAGTCCTTGTGCTCATCCAGCACGATTTTATTCACCCCGACCAGGTACTGGAAACCAGGTAAGACACCTGTTACGGGTGGGACGGGCTGCGCCCACTTGACCTCTGCCTGGGGCTCTCCGTTCATCTGTGCGAACATGTTGTTGTACAGCTCCTTAGCTTGAGCAGCCATCTGTCCCATGTCCATCCCTGGTTGCATACCCAGGGGGCCCTAAAGAGCACACAATGTAAATGCAAAAATCACACAACAGGAACTCTTGATTGAGTCGATTCGGGATTTTCAAGATTAAAAATACAACACATTAACCCGGAGGTGGTCAACGCTATGTGAAACATAGTAAAATAAAAAAAAAAATTTACATTTGGGATAATTTTAATTCTTATATTAATTAACGATCAGATGAAACATTGTTGCTTCAGTGTAGAAAAATTCTCTAGATTATGAAATTAAAATAATTCTCAGAGGCCTTGGGGACTCTGCATATTAAATAGAATTAAACTCAATGTTTAGTGCTATCCCCTTCAACCTAACTAGGTCAAACTAAGAAGTTTGGAACGAACTCTTTTGGGGCGGTGGCGTCGTTAGGGTTAGGGTCACCCGAGGTGGGCCAAGATTTTTTGATGACCCCTCCCAACCCCCCCCCCCTCCCCCCAATAGTTAGCCAAAGATGCCACAACCGAAAAATACATAGGATAAAATCCCATCCAGGGGAGGGACCACCTCTGCCAAGATTGCATTCCTTCCTACACCAGTGTTGTTGTTTGTTGTTTTTTTTTGGGGGGGGGGTGCGGCATTGTGGTCCACTTCATTGTAGAAAGCCATGGATCGATCTGAATAGAGAGGATGCGGTGGAGCAGGCCAGGGCCCTGCATGGAATGCAGCGCCACTGATGATGATGATGATGATCATACATTCTCTACGGCTTATGCTTGATGTGTCTCCTGTATGCGCCTGTCGTTGTCGTGAGATAGGGGTGGCAAAGTTGATGACTGCCCCGGGTGCGTCAAACACTAGCTACTCCACGTTAGCGGTGTTGATGGGCTTTATATGCTGTGTCCCCGTAATTATATCAGTCTAGAGCAGTGTTTCTCAACCTTCCTAATGCCGTGACTCTTTAATACAGTTCCCCATGTTGGGGCGACCCTCAAACACAAAATTATAATCAATGTTACTTCATAACTGTAAAGTATGTGTGTTTTTCGATGGTCGTAGGTAACCCCTGAGAAAGAATCGTTCGATCCACAAAGGGATCGCGACCCCCAGGTTTAGAACCGCTGGGCCAGAGGTTAAAAATTAGGGGAATTCCCGCCTTACCCACTTTTTCCCCATTCGCCCATCAATAATTACCGGCACCTGTCCTTGACCATAGCTCTGAGCCGGCATGGCGTAATTTGGAGGTTGTCCGTAGCTGCCACCGGCCACTTCGGAGTACAGCGGCGGTGGGTCGACCGGACCAGGTTGCTGGGTGACTGGTTCTTTGGAATTAAGCAAGGATAAAATACTAAAGAATTCCCTTTGTTTATGTCTCTCTGCTCTATCTATCCGTCTCTAGTCTCTCTCTACCCGGCTTTCTCTCTCTCTCTTTCTCTCCGTCTATCTCTTTATCCGTCTCTCTCTCTCTAGCTGTCTCTCTTTATCTCCATCTCTCTCTAAACGTCTCTCGCTCCCTCTCCGCCTCTGTCTCTCCATCCCTCTCTCTATCCATATCTCTCTCTATCCGTCATTCTATCCGTCTCTCTCTTTATCCGTATCTTTATCCGTCTCTTTCTCTATCTGCCTCTCTCTCCATTCGTCTCTCTCTCTCTCTCTCTCTCTCATTTTCTAACCGTCTCTCCTTCTCTATCCGTCTCTATCTCTCTACCCCCTCTCTCTATCCGTCTCTCTCTATCCTACTATCTTTGTATCAACCTCTCTCTCTATTCATCCTTCTTTCTCTCGATATGCCTTACTCTATATCCGTCTGTCTCTCTTCTCTCTCTGTCGTCTCTCTCTCTCTCTATCTTATATATCTCTCTCTCTCCATCGTCTCTCTCTATCCGACTTTCTATATATAAAACTCTCTCGCCATCATTCTTTCTCTCTATATATATCCATTCATCTCTCTCTCTCTCTCTCTCCCTCTCTCTCGCATTCATTAAATTTCATTAAATTTCACGATAACTAGTGACTCACACAGGAGAAATCACCCGTTCGACATAATTTAGGCGCTAACCAGGTTGCAGTGCAATCTTTTGTTTTTATTTGAAAGTTTACATTTCAGCATTCATTTGGCTGTTCTCTCATTAAAAGTTTACATTTCAGCAATCATTTTGCTGTTGTCTCATTAAAAAGACTGATAGGGATAACATCATTCTGATTCTTAATTTTTGTATGTGGCTTACAAATATCCAACTTAATTACAAATATTCAACCTACGCCAAGCTGGCTTCAATCTCTCAAAATCCTGCTTACCTACCCACAACATGTTATATCGGTAGCTATTTAGACGTACTCACCTATTTTATTTGACATCGCGGACAAAGTCTACCTGGTCGACTTAACAAGATGGAACAGACGTTAATCCTGAGCCTAGTGAGTTGTGACCACGTCACACGCGGGCCTGGTGAAAAAGAAAATATTTATATAGTCAGGCTTCAACAAGGAATAAATCACCAATGGATCGACTGCGCCTTGGGAATCAATAACATCCCGTACCTGGCCGACTTAATGGTGGACAATGCCTGGTAGTTCACTGCAACGTGATCACGAGGGCGCAATGAAGTATGTCGAAATGAGCTCTTTGGTAAATAAAGTAAAAAAAAAAAAAAACTTTTCAAATTACTTCTCTCAAATATCATTGAATTTTCTTTTTCCAGAATCTTTTAGGAAGGCTCCAAAAAGTCAAAAAAAAAAAAAAAAAAAAAAAAACTTTACAAATATCTTCTCCAAAAAATATTTAAATTTCTTTTTCCAAGAACTTTTAGGAAGGGCCCAAAAAAGCCAAAAGCCCCCCCCCCCCCCCACACGCGCTCCTTCCAAATTTTTGTGACGCAAGTGATTGTGAAACCCAAGCCGAAAAAATATGTCACCATAACACGAAGAAAACCAGTATGTTCTAGACAGTACGTTCTAGACAGTATGTTCTAGACAGTACGTTCTAGACCATATGTCTAGACAGTATGTTCTAGATGTTTATTTCTTATGGCAAAGCGGGCGTGGTACGGTAGAGCTAAAATGGGGGAAGAGATATCAGTAAAGTGACATATTTACATAGAGGTCAGCAAGGATTAAACTCGCATTTTGGCGGGCTAAAAAAAGATTAACATTAACACACAAAAAGCATCGGTGTTGCAATAACTTGGAATTTTGATGTTAAAAATAAACAGTATTTGCTTAATCCCTGCTAAAATGCTTGTGAAATCCTTGCTGTCCCCTGTTTACATATGTCACTTTGCTGTTTACATATGTCACTTTGCTGTTTACTTATGTCACTTTGCTGTTTACTTATTTCACTTTGCTGGTTACTTATGTCACTTTGCTGTTTACTTAGGTTACTTTGCTGATTACTTATGTCACTTTGCTGTTTACTTATGTCACTTTGCAGTTTACATATGTCACTTTGCTGTTTACATATGTCACTTTGCTGTTTGCATATGTCACTTTGCTGTTTACGTATGTCACTTTGCTTTACGTATGTTACTTTGCTGTTTGCTGTTTACGTATGTTACACTTTGCTGTTTACGTATGTCACTTTGCTGTTTGCATATGTCACTTTGCTGTTTGCATATGTCACTTTACTGTTTGCATATATCACTTTGCTGTTTGCGTAAGTCACTTTGCTTTACGTATGTCACATTGCTGTTTACGTATGTCACTTTGCTGTTTACGTATGTCACTTTGCTGTTTGCACCCCACTGCCCCGCCCCTACCCCTTTACAAATGTAACAAGAGGTCTCAGTTCTTGTGTTCAGCACCCACGGTAAGTTAGGAGACGTTTTTCAACTCAGTCCATTCCAGTCCCACTACGCTATACGACTCAACCTTGTGTCTACGGTATACGACTAATCTCCACATGCTCAACCTTGAGATAGCAGCTCACTCAAAGCTGGTAAGATGAATACTTAAATGGTCGTTAACAACTTTTCCGATTGTATTTGTCAACAACACAATGTTATTTCTATATATCACGCGATGCACGCAACCAATTGTCCTTTAACCATTCAAAGTAGAGCGTAATCATACGTGTTAGCTCACAGTACCAACAACTCACAGTACCGTCAGCTCACAGTACCGTCAGCTCATATTACCGTCAGCTCACAGTACCATCAGCTCACAGTATCGTCAGCTCACAGCACCCCCTGTCCTATTTTCTTTCGGCCCGCAGAAGTTTTTCATAAAGTATTACGGCCCACCTTACAATTTGTGTTGTGAATGCCTGCACTTAAGTAATCTGATCCATTGTGCAAGTTGGGTCAACATTAAAAAAAAATAAATTTGCATTGTGACTCGATCAAGTTACACTTAGGACGTGCTTGTCATGGCCAAGATGCTTCGGTCTATAAAAATAGTCTAGCATTCTGCCCACCAGGGACGTGCTGGCCCACGACGACGCGAGGAGCATTCGTCATGGGCCTTTTTGGGTAAATCAAATTTAAATTTCATAATCAAATTATTATGCAATTCTTGAATCGGTCTTCGACGACTTCGCATTCTCATCATATTGGCATCACTGGCTTTCCATATTCTCGGTTGATGGTAACTTCCGCTTGACCGCTTCCGTAGTGGTCGTATTTTCATTTATCGCTCAATTGCTGACTGTCGGCCTATCGTAGTCGGTAAAGTTTGCATACAGTAAGTTTTATGCACATTTAAACGTTTACCAGTCAATTTTGTCAAACGATAGTACGACAGAATAAAGCTATTTAGTATGAAGTCATCGAAGCAGAAATCTGGAAACGACAAGAAGATTGCTAAAAGAGGGACTGAATTAACATTGACAAGCAGCGATCCAAAACAGCTGAAATTATCGTTTTCTAAGTACACGCGACCAGACAATAGTGACAGTCACTAAAGACACTGTGGAACTGGAGGATGAGTCAGAAATTGTAGAGGATAATAACTTGAACTGTGAAGATAAAGAGAGTCATCATGAAGTAAGCAAACCAATTTTTTATGATACTTGTGAATGTGAAGAGTCTAGTGCTGGACATGAGCAGTCAATTCAGGAAACTGAACCTAATCAGGCAAAGGCCGTGGTCAGTGACAGTACAGCTGCAGAAATAGCAGAAAACGACCGAGTGGTCTGTTAAAAAAATTGAAAATCCATCAATCCAAGAAAAGAAAAGATTCAGTTTGCTTGGTCCGTATCAACCAAACTTACCTCAGGCTCACTCATCAGCCAAAATTGTAAAGTATTTCATCGAAGAAAGAAAGGTTGGTAACGTAATTGTCAGCCAAAAGCGATCCTGGCTAACTTATTCGCCGTATATGGACAAACCATTTTGCAACACATGCCTTGTTTTTGGGAAAAAAGACGACACAAAATTATTGATGTTCTGCGTTACCTAACAGCAGAAACAATACCTCGACGTGGAAGTGATGAAAGTGAATTCCACAACAGAACGGCAAAATCTGCTACCAACAAGGCGCTGGTAATTTTCTAAATTTACCGAACATCTTAGCTCAGTATGATATCCTACTGGCAAAGAAATTATCTGAAGTTAAACAGAGCAGTTGTGATAAAAAAGGTCGTGGGTCGCGTCTGGCGTTTGTGTCAAATAACACTCAAGATAAATTGACAGCAGTGATGGCGGGTTTGGTCAGAGACAAAATAAAGCAAGAAATTGATACAGCGTTGTTTTTCAGTGTAGCTGTCGATGGAACAACAGACATAACTCTATGTGAACAAGAGGATGTTGTCGTTCGCTATGTCAAGTCGGATTCTACAGAAGTTGAAGCATGTGAAAGGTTACTCAGTCTGGTCGAATGTGAAACAACAACTGGCGAAGAAATACACAAAAGTATCAAGTCAGCATTTGACAGTTGAAATATCAATCTGGAGAAACGTGTTGGTATGTCTTTTGATGGCACTTCGAACATGCAGGGCAAAACAAAGGGTGTTGTGACACTTATGAAAGAATATGCATCAATGTCGATTGGTGTCTATTGTGGAGCACATGCATCCAACCTGGTAATGAAGTACTGTGGTCGTTCTTCTGTTCAGGCAGTCAATATATATGGAACAGATAACAAACCTGGAATGCTGCAGAAGATACGGACGTTTCTGTATGGAAATGCCCGAAAAAATAAAAATAACGAATGTTTGTTTTCAGATTTCTTGTAGAACAACGACAGCAAGCAACAGGCAATAAAATGAAAATATAATGTTTACATTCAAATGATATTTCGCAACATTTACAAACGTCAACTAATTATTTATTTGCACGTTTTTCAAACTTAAACACATCGCTACCATTAGTTGATTCCTGCATTATTCAACTCTTAGTTTGACTTTTCAATAATACAATAAAATCGTCTTTCAAAAATTTCCTAACTAACTTTCCAACTCACCAAACTTACTTTGCCTAAGGTGCAAGCCTTACAGACTTCTTGAGAGCTGCGCTGTGCAGTGCATAGCTAGGCCAGCCACGACAGCAGGCGATAATTTACGAAACAACTTCTTTATCTCAGCTCATTATAATACCATTATTAACTTTGGCAAAGCTCCAAGTCATGCTCATAACAATATCTAAAGTACACTATTAGATAATAAATATTAGAGTAGACTAATAGACAGTAGATCAGCATTGTCTGCCCCGGACCTGGCGAATGGCAATTGCACAAAATTGCTGACAGCGTAGCCGGCGTTTAGTAATGATAAAATATAAATGATCAGTCCGTTGTTGTGTACGAGTAATCCTAGCATTGTTTTATTGGAATGGAAACATAACATTTTGAAGTTGAATAACTGTGACAGACTGAAAGTTTAAATAAACAATGATCATAAATAATGTTTAATGTTTAAAACTTTATTGCTACCTCACCAGTGTCAACAACAAAAATCAAGCTACTTGAACAACTGCCTGACAACGGTATTCAGTACAACAAAGTTAAACTGTACAGATTTCTACTAGCCTCCCTCGTTACCCGTAGGCATGGCTTACCTACAGTTATTACTATCTCCTGTGTGCGGGAGAGGGGGGGGGGGGCTCCGGGCCTTTCTTACTACACCGTTCGTCTTGGGTTTCCATGGGCCAGCACGTCCCTGCTGCCCACCCACTGAAACCAACGTCCATGGTTACATGGCGTTCATGCCTACGCCTAAATGGGCGCGTAGAGTTTATTTTTGTTTAAATCCCGATGAATCTTCCCCCCCCCCC